GGCGGGGGGCGGTGGCAAGGCCCGCTGGGTTCTGCCGCCGCCGAGCTGCGTGCGGCCGAGGCCGGCTCTGGACGCTGGAGCTGCTGGCCCCCGTCGGGCAGGGAGGGGGCCGTGTCGGGCATGAGCTGGGTCGGGTGGACCCAGGCGGCCCCGCAGGTGTGTGGGGGCAGGATGGTGCTGGGGTGGGGGTCAGCTCTGGGGAAGAGGGGTGGGGGCTGCGCCCTGGCGAGGGGGAATCTCCCCATCCGCCCCCCCCGAGCTGTGCCTCCCTGTGTCCAGGCTGACTTTCTGGGGTGATGAGCACTGCCAGGCTGTTCCCTGCAGTGTGTGGGGGGGAGGGGATGTGTTGTGTGTGGGGCGGGGGTGCTGGTGCTCACCTGACACCGCGCCCCCTTCTCTCCCCAAGCATTTCTACCAGAACAGGGCGCAGCCTCCCGCCAGCGCGTCCCGCGTACAGAGCAACACGACGGCTCGGCCCGGCCCCCCTGCCCATGTGTATCCAGCTGCTTCCCAGGTGATGATGATACCCTCCCAGATATCCTACACACCTTCCCAAGGAGCCTATTACATTCCCGGACAGGTGAGGGCTGTGTCCTGGGCTTCATGGGAGGGGGCTGGAATGGGCAGTGGTTGGGGATGTTGCCTGGGGTTAGAGCCCAAGTCTGTTTGGGTGGGGACAGGTGGGGTCCCTCTGGCTCTCCAAGCATCCCCTGATTTTAGCAGGGTGTTGCCCAGCTCTGTAGAGAGGTGACAGGTGGTGCTGGTCCCTCTCCCCAGCAGCACCCCAAGACCCCAAGTGCCTACTTTGCCTGCATCCTGCTCCCTTTCCTGGCACCCAGCTGGTTCACTGGCAGAACTGGGGGTACGTCAGTGGTTTGGGAGTCAATGGTTTTGGGGTAGGTCTATAGCCTTTAGGGGAGATAACTGACCTTTCTTTTCCCCTGTTGCAGGGCCGCTCCACGTACGTCGTCCCGACCCAGCAGTACCCGGTCCAGCCTGGTGCCCCTAGTTTTTACCCTGGAGCCAGCCCCACAGAGTTCGGGACTTACGGTACAGACTAGGGGATGTGGTTGCTCTGCTCCTGGGTGTTCTTCCAGCCCCAGCACTTCTCTGTTTTTGGCTCTCCTGCCTCTGGCCTCCCTGCAGCCCTCCATGTGCAGGAGCAGAGTGCCAACACCTCTGCCAGCTCACTGGGGCTGTCTCTGTGACTCCATTACAGGCTGTTTTGGGGGACGGGGTCTTACCCCTTTCCCAGCACATCATGTCCCGCCACTCCATCCTTTCCAAATCAGGGCCGTTTAATGTTTAACCCTCCTGGCGGAGGGCTGGGGCAGACTTTATCCTCTGCTCTCCCTCACTTGCTGTCAAGGTGGTGAGCAGTTCTGTGCTTGCTGACCCCCCCACCACCCTAGCTCCTGGCTCCCCAGGGAACTGAGCTGGGAGTGCTGGGGCCGCTCTGTGCCTGCCCTCTCCCGGCACTGGGGAGTGGTAGTGTGAGCAGCCCCCCTCCTTCCCCCGCTTGCATGTGGCCACCCAGGCTGTGACTATATTTAGGCTTGGTCGGTCCCAGGAGGCCCGGCAGACACAGAAATGTGAGCCGAGGCCTCCGGCCAGGTCCCAGCACAGCAGCAAAGCACAACCGGGGCGGAGATGGGCTTCTCTTGAGCCAGGTACGTGCCTGTCCTCTCTTCCTCTTGTCTCAGGGTCCAGCTGGCCCCTCAGAGGATGGAGGTGGCCCCTGGCAGTGACTGGCTCCCACACTTGGGCCAGGATACAGCTGATTCTTTGTGCCTGGCAGTGGGGCATCCCCCAGTGTTTCTCGTTGGAGCCTGGGAAGGGCTTGTCTCCCACCTCCACTTCAGGGCTGCTGCTGTTCTCAGGGAACCTGGCAGCAGTGTTTCGCTTGCCCACAAGACTGGATGGGTTGGCCTGGCAATGGCATGGGTGATGGCAGCTTGATCTTGCTCTCCTTTCCCTCCTTTCCCTCATACCTGGCCCATCCTTTGGGGGCCTTTCTGGTGCCCCTGTGTCCTTCCTGGGCAGAGGAGGGGTCCCTGGCTCTAGGGTGGTAGTCACCAGGAAGGTGCTAGAGCTGGAGGGGGCTGGGACCTGGCTGCGCCTGTTCCCTCCACGCCCACTTCCCTGAGGTAGCACTCTGGGGGTGATTCTTGCTGATGCCCTGAGAGGAGCGGAGTGCCTCTCAGGGGCTGTGCCAGCCCTGGACGGGGTCCAAATCTGCCTTCATCCCCCAGCATGGCTCCCTCCTTTGTGCTCTTCTCACCAGGGGCTGTGCGGGGAGCCGGAGCCCCTCAGCCTGGGTGTGAATGGAGGGTGTGGACAGGGCTGCCTGGTGCCGCCCTTGGGCTGGTGCTGGCCCTGGGGAGATAAGGAATCCTGGCAGGAAGGTGGTGTCCCGCAGAGTTGGGACACCCGGGACCCCCGCAGCCGGCATGGCCGAGCGTCCCCGTGCTGAGCGTCCCTGCGTGGAGCCGGTGGGCACGGCAGGCGCCTGCGGGGACTGGCTGGGCGTGGGTGTGGCGCGGGGACGCTCTGCTTCACCAGGAAGGAATTCGGTCAGGCCTGTCAGGCGGGTTGGGACGATCCAGGCCGGATGCGATGGGGGTTCGCTGCAGAGTGACACGGGCTCCCCAGGCTCCTGGCAGACCCCTGTGTTCTGGGGATCAAGGAGTCCCCAAGACAGCCTTGGAGGATCTGGGTTGACCCATCCATCTGACCCTCTCTCCTCTCCTCCAGCGGGTGCTTATTACCCGGCGCAGGGGGTGCAGCAGTTCCCGGCGGGGGTCCCTGCTGCCCAGGTCATTGTGAGCCAACAGCCCCCGATCCCCCCAAAACG